TCACTATCCTCACCAGCCCCCGCCGCAACGTGGTGCCCCGCAAGATGCAAACCTCGCAGCTTTGTTGAACAGTCGTCAGCGCGAGGATACGCAACGCGATCAAGTCACGAAGCAGCGTGAGCGTGACTTCCTATTGAATTTGATGCAGCAACCTTCTCGCGCTACACCACCGCAGGTACAGGGTCACAACTTGCCTCGCCCATCTCAGGAAAGTCATAACATGCCCTTCTTCGAGCAATCAAGACAGCAGCCTCAGCACCCTGCTCAACACCAGGCCAAGGGTCGTGGTGGTCTGCCCCCAGGTTTCATGGAAGACCCTCGTATGTTCACAGAGAACGAGATGCTGCGTCGTGAGGCTGCCGATCGCCAATTGGAGCTTCAGCATATGCAAAGACTGCAACAACAGCAACAGCAACAACAGGAGTCCATGCGAGCCAAGAACCAGCGCATGCCAATGGGATATCCCACCCCGGAAGATCCACTTATGGGCCTCCAGCGCCGCAACACAGGAGGTGACCCGCGCATGCCAACCAATATGGGTATACCTTCGCAGCCCGTACCGGATATGCCATATATGGGCGGACGAGGTCAACCAGGAATGCCGCCAACACCGCAAGAGCGGCCGAACATCGCTCCGCCACCAGGATTCGGCGGTCCAATGCGCCAGCCACCTGGCCTCAATGGTCCCAACCCTCAGCAAATGGGACCTGGAGGGCCGAGCTTCTCAGCTGGCAACACACCGCTTGGTCACCCTCCTGGCTTCCCGCCCGGTGGCAGTATCCGCGGATTAGGCTTTCCAGGCGGACCAGGAGGACCCGGTGGTAATGGCATGCAGGGCCCACCTGGCTACTTCCCACCTCCTGGCTATGGCGGCCCCCCAATGCCCGGTATGCGAGGTGGTGAAGATCCACGCATGATGTTCGACGGCCAATTCGGCGGACCTCCACGCCAGCAGCCAGGTCGTCCTGGGCCACCCAACATGTACTAGCTTCTCATACAGTCTCGACTGAAGGGCTCACCTTCGAGCTTGAATGTATTCGGGGTTCATAAACCATCAACTTTACATTGATTTCAGCAGAATGTTATAATGTCAGTTCTTGGCTTCAAGCGTAGCGTCGGCGTCGGGGATGCTGTATATTTGGGTCTGGGCCTTCCCTTTTCTACAGCGATATCTCCCTGGAAAGGACAGGATTGGCATGTCGTCAGATTTCAGATGTGATATGTCTGATCTCTGAGGGTTTTATGTACGTACGGTCACTTGGGCACTCTAATGTATAGAGGGGCTACGAGGCACGAGACGATGCCATCGCAGCAAGAACAAAGATGTATTGCGCTACTGCAGCGTAGTTACATGAAGAAAGAAAGAAACAAGAAGAAAAGGCCAGCTCGTAGATCATAGAATGTATCGGGAGTTGGTGCAACTTGATATCTCCGATGATTGTGATGCGCATGTAACTGAAAGCTTGATCTGACGATGTAATGCATCATGCAAGACGGTATTGATAAGGTTGACGTGCGCATCTTCATAGATCAGGTGAACCTCGACTTGACACACGGAGTATGTACAGTTATCGAAGTATAGAAAAAGGTTGAATTACATTGCTCGTGTGTATCACTAAATGATAAACGCCAGAAGATATCCCCCACCTTAGCCACATATGCTCATTGACATCATCCAAGAATACTACATTACCAGCTCACTCCTCAGCCCACTCACAGTACAAGCATACCGAGTAAGCTGCCCGCAGCGAGAACCGCATACACGCCCATGACTAGATCGCCGTGGGGGAAGAAACCAGGCGCGTTGACGCTGGGAGCAGCACCCTCAGAACTGGAGCTTGCTGCACCACCGCTGCCGCTGCCACCACTCACTGCCGCAGTACCCTTACCCGTAGCCTCAGGTACATTGCCATCGCCCTTGTTGCCTGCAGCACTCAGTAGCGAGGCACAGTTGCCAGCAGTGGTTGCGCTCTGGATGCTAGCTCTGCCCGAGAAGCTGCAAGCATCTGCGCGCTTCTTCTGTCCAATGTAGTATTGGTTTGCGACAAACGCAAGTTGGTCCTTGGGGTCGCAGCCAGAGTAGGCACCAAAGTCACCGGTTGTGGAGTTGCGTGCAATGCCGTTGCAGTAATCTTCGTTCTCGCCGCAGATAAAGTTGAAGTCGTCGGCGTACTTGTCGTCATCGTCAGATTTGTAGACGCACTGCAGACTGTCTACCATGCAAGCGCATAGCTGGGGGTTGACGTTGGGAGGCAGTGGTGATGCTTGCGCGAGCCATGATCCGCCGACTGAGGGGCAGGCAGGTGCCGAGTTGGTGGGTGTGTATTCAGATCGCTGAGTAATAGTTGGAGTGGCGGAGGCGAGCTGGCTTTGTAGAGATGTGAAGTCGGGGTAGGGCGATACGCTGGCGCCATTGTCAGCGAGCGAAACGAGTCCGTAGTCGTTTTCACCCATGAACCACTCGTAGACGATACCACCAGAGAAGACGTCAGTCATGTTGCCGTATAGAACCTCGACTTCGGTGAATGGACGGCTGGTGGGACCGTCATCCAAACCTTCGATGCATCCGTATTCAGCGAAGAAGACAGGGACGGGGTAGTCGGAGAAGAAATCGACGCGCTCGCCATAGGAAGAAGAAGCGTAGTTGCTGTCGCCACACCATGAGTAGACGTTGTAGCCCCAGAAATCGATGGACGTCTTGTTTCCTGAGTCGCCGGGCTGGCACGCGAAGTAGTGCGCAAGCTCATTGCGCGACGGCACATCGGCAGTCGCGTAACCCACACCTAGCGTGTTGCGGTAGTCTTGGTTTTGGATATACGTCTTGGTGTCGCGGACAGCAGCCTTGACAAATCCGGCAGCTGCCGTTTGGTTATCGCTGCTGACGTTCTCGTTGCCAGCAAAGAAGCCGATGACATTCTTGTATTTGCTCAGCGCGTCGATAACCCCTGTGTATCGCTGATACAGCGTGACGTCCCACTCTGGGTTGTTCGATTCGATCGACGTGCCAGGCTCTCCCAGGTCGGAGATGACATAGATGTCTGCGCTGGCCAGCTGCTCCATGCAGTCATCGTGGTTTTGGGTCGGATCGATAGCGTATACGCGGATGACATTTGTGTAGATCTGCTTGAGGTAGGGAATGTCTCGTCGGCAGGCGTCGCCGTCGGCTAATGGATCTGTGTATTTGGTATCGGCGCTTGTCGAGCCATTGGGAGAGTAGTTCTGCTGGTATGCGACACCCTTCAGATAGCTTGCATGCTGTCAGTATCGTGCTCTAGACTGGCAGAATGTGCGTGTACTCACAACTGCGAGCCATTGTTTGTGTAGAAGAAATGTTGGCCATAGACCTCAATGTCTGGTATGTCGTCGTAACTGGCTGCCTTTGCCCCGCTGGTGGCTAGCGCTGCCACGGCAGCAGAAACAATACCCTTCCACATTACCATGCTGATTGTCGATAACGAACGTAGGAAATGAATGAATGGGTATTCGAAGCTTTCTCAGCGCAGTGCTTGGTAGGCAGTGCGCAAAAGCTTGGTTGCGGAGTGAGTGGATAATGGACAAAGAACCGCAGTGTTTCCGGGGCAGCCGGAGAGTTATTGTTTTCCTTGGTTTTAGGGAACCCGGGACGCGTGTCTTACGGGTTACGGCTGGCTGCAGGTACTATACTATTTCTATCACTTGGGTGGCTATGCTGACAAGTCGCCCGGCCCGAGGTGGCGACGTAGGCGCTGATGACGCTGCTGTCGATGTTTGGTGTGGGGCTGTCGATTGGGCGATCTATCGATTAGTCGAGGGCTAAGCTTTTCGGGAGCGTTTAGTGGGTTTGCTGTCCCCAGTTTTCTTCGAGCTTGGTTGGCGTCGCGCTGTGCTGCTCCAAGTGGTCAAAATCGGGCAGACATTTGACTTGTCCGTTGCTGCGTGCTGCGTGAATTGGGGAAGCGACACGCGACGCAGGTCCAGAGGTCCGCCGCGCATATCCCGTATCCGTATCTCGCTTGTTACGATGGATGATGCAAGGATGGCTCCTCAGTGCCGAGGTCCGCCAAACAGTAAAGAGAAGGAGCAGGCTCTTTTGACAATGTTGTTACTATCGGCGACTTGTACAGGATCGGATGGAATGCCAACTGAGTGGAAAGAAATAGGTATCGTATACGCGACCTCCGTGCTATTTGCCAGCGGGTATGACTGGGCGTTCGGGAATAATACCCTCACCATGGCAACTAGCTGCGGCCCTGCAGCCCTCGCCTTGCCGCTATCGCACTACCATCTCCATACACAAAAAGAGCCGACGTAATGGTGTACGCAATCTGCGGTCTTTGATTCGTATTCCGCAAGAGAGAAACAGTTCAGATGCCCCCCTTTCCTCAGAACACCCTCCCAACCACAAAAGCCTCAAACACGGCGTTCTCAAAAGCTTCTCTCTCAACCACACCACCGAAGCCATAACACCGCACCAATGCCACCAACTTCTCTTTCAAGCTGTCCCACCTGTATGCCTCCAGTCCCGCAAATCCCTCCTGTCGCCGGATATAATCCCACGCCTGTACTGGCGTGACTTCGCCGTCTTGGAGCGGAACACAGCTAGACAGTGCCAAAAGCTGGTCTATACTAGCCTGTGGAACCTCCCAAGTCGAAGGAGAGAACTGTCGTTGCCCAGGTGGTGAAGGGTGATGATGAAAGAGGCATGCTGAGACCGTCAAGGCGTGGCCGGTCGAAGCGGAAGTATCTGTGTCGGAGCTGCCAGTATTGGGCGAAGCCACATCGATATGTGGTAAACAAGGAGACTCGAGACTATACGTAGGAGTTTAGTGACAAACGGCTGAGGAAAAGGAAGGACAGTGGCATACGTCAAGACGAAGTCCATCCCGACGATCTCTGGGTCCATGTTACCCATGCATATCGCAGATCCACCAGGCGAACCCGTGGTGGATGTGTACCCTGATAACGCGGAGCCAGACAATGGCGGACTTATGAGCTGTGCCGAGCCGGCTGCATGACAAGTGTCAGTTACCACGGATTGAGAACACTTGTCGTAGTCCAGCCGTAGTGTACTTACGCAACGATTGCTGAGACACTTGCTGTACGTATATCTGTTTCCGTCGGTTCTTTTTCTTGTTCTCCTCTTGCCCAACGGTTAGAGCAATCCTCTTCTCACTCTCTACGTTCGCTCTCTCTTCCTGTTGACCAAGTCCTACTCTTGTTCGATCGGGTATGGCAATGCCGTTTTGAGTCAGCAGACCTTTCAAGAAAGCGACTTCAGAATACAGCGCTTTGGTTTCTTGCGACAATCGAGCTTCATTTGCGCGGAGCTGGACTACTTCACTTTCGAGAGAAGCCGTATAGGCTTCCTTGCGCTCGCGATGTGTTCTGATTCGTCAACTCAGGAGAGCACTTGGTATACAGATAGAAGCGACACGTACTTCTGCGCTCGTCGAACCTGTTCTCGCCGCCTTTGTCCCGGATTACGCGTATCGCCATCGTCTGAACACAGCGAGATGCATGCTTAGCGACCCGTACCTGGAGCTTCATAGGCCCTGATTGGACATACCGTCGGGAGAACTCTTGTCGCCTTTGAAAGGCTTGAAGGTGAACTTCATCACGTGCACAGCCTATGGTGCTCAGGTGTTCAGATGTGGTGTTCTGTCAGCCACCCGATAGGAAGACCGGAAATGGGCCACTGTGCTTATGGTCCCAAAGTGCAGAAGCCCGATAGGTAATCAGTTTCTCTCGGAAGAAAAGAGCGATCAAGGCGACGAAGCTGCTGCGCAGATGCCAAGTCTAGTGTTCCCATTATGCCGTATCCATCCCAAATGTCGCGCCAATGACAACGGCCCGGTTGACATGTCTGACGGGCGCAGTTGAGACACGGTGTCACAAGTCAGATTGCGCGCCCTGGCCCTGTCCTCAGCTGGGAATTTTAGGCTAGCCGTCTCTAGTAATTGCTTCAGAATCAAATTTACTCGTTCAGGCAATAGATCGGCGAAGCGCTCGCTTGACACAGGCACCGTTTCGTATTTACCGCATACCCGATATGTGCCATCTCTTCGCGCTGCATTTTTCTTGAAACCAAGCGACGGGTGGTGCGGAGAATCCTTGTGATGTTCAGCCTGAGGCTGTAGGAGTGGCTTGCTCCCCCGGTCGTCTTCTGAAATTATACGCCATTCCGGATTAGGCAATCTTGATCGAATAATCGCGGTCTCTTGGAACGCAAAAGTATCAGGCTTTGGCTCAAAGGCGGTTTCTATAAGAGAAGGGTGTGTATTTGGCGATTGGGCATTCAACAGATCAGCTGGACTCTCTATCTTACCTTCTCCACACACTCGCTCTCAGGCTACCCATTCACACTTCATCATTAATCTCTGTTCTGTCTTGACGCCGTACTCAACACCGCAAACATGTTCACCAAATCTTTCCTCTTCGCTCTCCTTCCTTCAATGGCAGTAGCAGCACCACACCAACGACCCCGTCCAGGCGCACACCAGGGACAACAACAAGGTGGAATGAGCTGCATGCAGCAGCAGAGTGCTGGAAAACCTGCTGTCGGCAAAGCCATCTACATGTTGACTAACGATGCCGAGAACGCTGTCGTTGCGCTGCCCATTGGAGCCGATGGTATGCTTTCGCAAGGCAAAGTTATGAAGACGGGTGGTGCGGGTTCTATTGCCGTCGATGCAGATGGCAAGCCCGCGACGCCTGATGCACTGGTTGGCCAGTCGGCATTGACTGTCGTTGGGAACGTGAGTTTAACACATCTCCGGAGAATATGGACAAGAATGTCGGACTGACGAGTCTCAGAACCTGTTTGCCGTGAACGCTGGCTCCAATACGCTTACCATGATGACCATATCAGCCAACGATCCCACATCACTCGCCTGCGCCGGCAAGCCTGTAGCCATACCTGGAGAATTTCCCAACACCGTCGCGGCATCTGCAAAGAACAAGCTTGCATGCGTGGGAACTACGGGTGCACTAGCTGGAATCTCATGCGCACCTTTCTCCGAGCAAGGGCTTGGACAGATGGACGACCTCCGGCCCTTCGACCTCGGACAGACCACTCCCCCCGTTGGACCCCTAAACACCGTGTCGCAGGCGTTCTTCTCATCCGATGAGTCCGCTCTCTTCACCACCGTCAAGGGCGATCCAGCCGTGAACAACACAGGGTTCCTCTCCACCTACGCAGTGCAAGCTTCCAATGGCGCCGCCGCTCTCTCGAAGAAAGACGTTCGCAGCTCACCCGAAGGGACCGCCGTGCTGTTCGGCTCGGCTATCATGCCCAAAGACCCATCCTCCCTCTTCGTCACTGACGCGTCCTTTGGCGCTGCCGTCCTATCGGTAGACTCTCAAGGCCAAGCGACAGTCAAAGGCTCCCAGAAGATCGACGGTCAAGCAGCAACCTGCTGGGCCACAATTTCCGATGCAACAAACAGCGCGTTCGTTACAGACGTGGGTGTCAACCGTGTCGTGGAGATGAGTCTAGATGACGCGAGCATCATCATGCAGCTCGATCTGTCTGCCAATGGCGATCCTGGTCTCATCGATCTCCGCGCTGCAGGCGACTTTGTCTATGCCTTGAGTCCTGGCAATGGAACCACCAACGCGGCGATTACTGTGCTCGATGTTTCCGGTGGTCAAGGGTCGATGAAGCAGGTCCAGCATTTCGACTTGGGTGGCATGGCAGGAAAAACCGCTCAGGGTATGGCTGTGATGATGTGAGGGGTCTGAGGATGTCTTCTTCGTAGTATGTAATTTCTGCTTTTGTTAGTTTATATAAGTATCATACTCGATATTACGTGCGCGCATTGCTATGCTGCCTGTACATCAAGGAAGCCAATTATTTGTGATCACACTACTATAGTGTGTCATTGAAGTCTCTTTTAGTGTAACGTCCTGCATCATTTCAATTCGCACAGGAGCGAGTTCTACAGTATTTCTACATTTTGTACAAGTCGTTCAATCGTAGCGTTCGTGCACTCATCTGAGACCAACTGTGTGTAACCGGCGTATTTGTTTCCTCTTTTCTGGGTTTGAAGCGGGAGGAAAGAAATCACCAGGAGTGGGACGAGGCCGGTGTATCTGTTGCGCGGGTGTGGGCGGGCTAGCAGTCTTGCTAGACTCAGTGGGCGCCTTGTTGAGTGCCTGCGGTGACTCTTGTGTTCGATAATCAAGATCTTCGGCATCCTCTTCCAGATCTTCGATGTCTTGCTCTAGTTCTTTTAGTGCTTCATCGGCGGTCTTGTCCTTCCTTTGATGTGTCCTTAACACTCCACCCCACAATGTCTCGAGGTCTGTCTCGGCCCTCTTCTCTTCTGTGAACATCTGTACGACTACGTTGACGCCGGGCTTGATGTCCCTGAAACCGACAAACTGTTTCACGTCGTCACCGGGCATGTGCGTGTCATCGGGATGCGCTTCCAATTTCCCAAGTGTGCAACAGATCCAGCCTGTGCGTATACCGTCGTCAATGTTGCCTTCGGGTGCGGAACCACCAACGTTTGCCAACATTCGCATGCGCTTGGCCTTCCGTCTTAGCTTGATCTTCAGCTCATTGCGACCCAGAAGACCGGCCGCATTCGCCTTCAGCCCGTGTTCGCGTCGAAGGTATCGGCAGAATCGGTCAGCCGCTACGTGGAGATGCTTTTCCGAGCGCGCTGTCGCGATGAGCATGATCAGTTTGGGACCGAGCGCAGGCGGAGGGTCGAGGTTTCGCAGGTCGAGCAATTGCAAGTCGTCGAGACCGGCCGTGATGGAGACATATTCGAGAAGGGTCGCTAGGAGAGGTGGCGGGTTCGGTGGGAGATCTGGGATCTGGGCGGGGTTCAATGCGGGCGACGGAACCGATGCTTGTTGTTTGAGATACCACGGGATTGCATTGTCTTGTTGAGAGGGTGGCGTTGTAGCTGGCGAGGTTTCGGTCGCAACTTCTGGCGCAGCTTCTTTCCAGCCCTCGGAGGGGTCTGATATGGCTTCCTGGGATACAGTATCCTCGTTAACAGGCTTGGAACCGTCGTCGAGGAAGGCGAACCCGGGATCGTCCGTTGAAGGATCGTTCTTGTCTACCCGCCGAAGTGCACTCGTACTGAAGGCGCATCGTGAGACTGTCGAAGGCGCGGTGCGCAAAGATGCGCCATTGGGTCGGGGCACTGAGGTGGATTGGCGAACCTGGGTACCCCGACAGGCATGGCAGATGAACCTAGAAGAGGCAGCCCTAGAGAAAGACATGGTGAAGGATAGAGCAGACACGAATGGTGGCATGGCGCTGCGCAGTTCAACTTTCTTGATGACATCGGTGTTTCGCAGCACCGACTGTGGATCCCTACTTACTAGCGTCCTGTGAACTTCCCCATCACATGTCTCGCCTTGTAGCACCAGCATTGTATTGACCGCACACTATGATGCATATGTAGTGTTCGTGGCATGAACCAGAAATTACGCTACCACAGAATGAAAGTCTACTCACTGTGTATGAGCCTATAGTCTTATACAATGTCTTGGGTAGTCGCTGGGTGATGCATCTGCCAAGAGAGCTAGTGGGGGCGAAAGAGAGCTTGCGGCGAACTTTTGAAAATCATCGGGCACGCGGGGCACCAATTTCAAAGCAGTCACTGCCTGTCCGACTCACACCGACCGCTACTTCTCTCCTTATATATCCTTCCCCTGGTCCTCTGATACCTAGAGGGACGCGCACTATCGAAACCACTCTATCCAAACACCACCGCACACATGGAGGGCGTCATGATGGATGCTCAGCGCTCTTTCGCGCCTGAGCCCAAGAACTCGGCCACGATTCTCTGCGCAGACTGCGGCGCGCCTGTCGACGGCACACTCTCGGGCGCCTTTTGCTACGACTGCATCAAACTCAAGACGGACGTGACGGGCGGCATCCAGCGCGAGGCAATCCTGCTCATGTGCCGCGACTGCGACCGATGGCTCTCCCCGCCCACCACCTGGGTCGTCGCTGCCCCCGAATCGCGCGAACTGCTCGCTCTCTGCCTGAAGAAACTGCGCGGACTGAACAAATTGCGAATCATCGATGCCGGCTTCATCTGGACGGAGCCCCACAGCAGGAGGATCAAGGTCAAGATCACCGTGCAGTCGGAGATTAACGAGGGCGCCATCATGCAGCAGAGCTTTGAGGTGGAATACACACAAAACTACAACCAGTGCCCAGACTGCGCAAAGAGCTACACCCACAACACATGGAGGGCCTGTGTGCAGATCCGCCAGAAGGTGCCACACAAGAGGACCTTCCTGTACTTGGAACAGTTGATTCTCAAGCACGGAGCCCACAAGGACACCATCAACATCAAGGAAGTTCACGACGGTATCGACTTCTTCTTCTCCCAGAGGAATCATGCCGTAGGCTTCTGCGACTTCCTCAAGGCCGTCATCCCAGTCAACATCAAGCGCTCCGAGGAGCTCATCTCACACGATATTCACACTTCGACCAAGAACTACAAGTTCTCCTTCTCCTGCGAAATCGTACCCATCTGCAAAGACGATCTTGTAGTCCTCCCTATCCCCCTCGCAAAGAAGATCGGCAACATCTCGCCCCTCACGCTCTGCACCCGCATCGGCACCTCCATACAACTACTCGACCCTTCGACCCTCCAGACAGCCGATGTCGCCACGGACATATATTGGCGCACACCTTTCCGACCCCTCGCAGACGTACAGGAACTGACCGAGTTCATTGTCCTGGACATCGAGCCTCTAGGCAAGTCAGTAGGCCGCCACTTCCTCGCCGAAGCCACCGTAGCCCGCTCCTCCGATATGGGCGTCAACGACACAACATACTACTGCCGCACACATCTTGGTGGTATCTTGCACGTTGGCGACTCGGTCATGGGTTACCTCCTCAGCAACACCAACTTCAACAACGATCTTTTCGACGTTCTCGAAAACAACAACAAGTATGCGGCCGCTATCCCAGATGTTATGCTTGTCAAGAAGTACTACCAGCGCTCCAAGAAGAACAAGAACAAGCGCAACTGGCGCGTCAAGCGTATCAACAAGGATGAAGGCGAGATGCTGCCCCGTAAGCAAGATCAAGAGAAGATGGAGCGCGACTTCGAAATGTTCTTGCAGGACGTCGAGGAGGACCAAGACCTGCGCGCTACCATGGCGCTATACAAGGCGCAGCAGGAACAGAAGCAGCGCGACGCAGATGCCATGGAGACTGAGAGCAGTCTTGGTGACGATGAGGATGAAGGGCTGCAGATTCCGATGGATCAACTGCTGGATGATTTCGAGGAAATGAAGATGCACGACTGAAGTTAAAAATGACGAATTCAATGTCGCATGAGTTATGGCGTTGTGGCTTGCTGCATCTACGGGCGTTTGGCGGGTAAAAGGGATGGGAAGTACCACGTTTATAGAATTGTCGATTTCATCCAATATCGACTGGGCATCTTGTCCTTCAATCTCAAAATACTTTCATTCAACTCGCCATTTCGTTCGTCGCTGTGGCTGTAGAGGTTGTGACAATTCCACTGCTGCAGGTGGAAGCAGGAATTGACATCGTTCGCTATCATGATTCCCGTGGCCTCAGCGCGGCGACGTAGGTGCCGTATCGCTAGCTCAGCGCGGCTGGTAGTGATGGCGACAGTTTCACCAGCTTGCTTCAAGCCTCTCTGAAGGTTCATTTTCAGGCCTCACACAGCTCAACAGTTTACACAAGATCGGCACGGATAGGCCCGGTTCTGAACTTTGATCAAGGCTTGATGGTTCCCCTTGCCCACGCCCAGCACCTTCCGCGGGGAGATCCTTGATCACCTCAACGGATGTGTGCTGCCTACTGCTGATGTTGCAGGCGATCCGGATCTGCAATTGAAGGTTGCGCCATGTGTCATGCGCTACTCAGGACAGCGAAAGAGTTGGCGCGGCCGACTCAACAGCTAACCACCTGGGCACCTGCGTGGCGATGTCGAGATTCTCCATGAGCTCGAAAGTTCAATGCCACAGTGTTCCACGAGTGTTCTCTGTCATTCTAATTTACAGTTCCTTGCGCAATCTACGAGTAGGCTTTCCGGCTCTTGTGGTTACCGGTGCCTCGCGTGTCGCACCATCGCCGCCAGCTTATCCTGGCCACACGCAATCCTAGGTAGTTCAGGAAATAGGACTCGCTCCCGTCCGAACGGCTTCTCACCGCGCTCGAACGAGGTCGCGGGCTTCGCTCCACTGAGTCGTATAGGGCCAACTTTGAGTTTCCTGGATTTTAAGTTTTGGCGGAGAAAGGGCCGCCTTCATCCATAGCCGTACGCGACTCAGCCGGCATCGCTAGCAGAGCCGGCTGAAAGACCAGCATGCGCAAGGGCGTTTCTGCCACTTGTGAACATGGGGTAGAGCCTCTCTTAGGGATATGACCTGATGCGCAAGTCGCAATTCCTCAGCTCGCAGGTTGAGTAATCGATGCCTTTCGCACGCAGGCAGACTACGGCACCTGTCACACAGTTATCTTAACGAATCTCATCTGAGATACTTGCCCGCCATGGCCGACGAGTTTACTCGCATTGTCGAGGAGATGATGCTAACTCCCCCGAACCCAAATGCGCCCTTACCACTGGCGAACAAGAAAGGCACGATGTTTGGTGTCTCGATACCATTCCACGTAGGTCCTTCACGACAATACAAACGTCCTACAAACTCACCGTCATAGGTTTTGTGCTGGGTTGTCGTAGGCTTCCGTCTTCATACTCGCCTGCGAGTTGTTCGTGAACCCGGTCTCGATGACCTCTTCGTAGTCCTAGCGGCTATATTCAACTTGATATCTATCATAGCCTTCCTCCACGGTAGGCCTGCACGACTCTAAACTCGTGGTCGTTGTACTGATTTCTCGCGCAGGCACCAATTATGGCATGGGTCATCATCTTATCTACACCTTACGAGAGTTGCAACCAACCATGATCTGGCTGTATATCACAAATGCCGCGTATCATACGACCACTGTCTTCATCAAGATATCCCTACTCCTACAGTACCTGAGGCTCTTTCAGCAGGGCGCTCGCCGCATCATTTGCATCGTACTTCTCGCGTTGGTGATAGCATGGGGCCTGACTTTCTCATTCATGGCTTGGGTACCCTGCTTTCCAGTAAGGAACTTCTGGGATCGACAACCTGGCTCTAAATGCTACGGCTTCGGATATCGCACTATCAATGAGGCGAAATTCACGATACTCGCGTTTGCTGCGACGAACATGGCGTTCGATATTGCCATATTCCTCGTCCCGATCACGGAATACTTTAGGAAAGATCTCAGACGGAAACAGGTGCTTGCCATGACTGGATTGTTCGCCCTCGGTTCGATGTAAGTGCAGACTCTGAACACTTCAGCGTCACCACTGACAGACGCAGTGTCGTACTCATGGCTATCCTTCGCCTTTGGAGCACTTTCAAGAACAGTCAAAGCATGACCCAAAGTTTCGATTTCACATGGTGGTACCCCGAAGTCCTCATCATCTCCTGCCTCGAAATCGACTTCGCGATAATGTGTGCGTCCATGCCCATATTCTGGCCCACCGTCATGGCTTCCTGGACCCAAATCTTTGTCACCAATGAGGTCCGCGTTACGCACCACGAACGTCTTCCCGACGATAGTCGCGATAACTTCGAGTTGGTCAGGAACACGTCGTTGAAGAGCACAGGGAGTGCGGAAGAATTGGCAAGGGTTACGAGCGAAGAGCAGGACACAGTGTATGGCGGATTTGACCCAGAGACGGGCAAGGATGGCAGATTTGCTGCTATGCGAGTAGAGGTACAACCGCAGGCACAGAGGACGCGGAGACTATGAACAGCATGTTTCCAGGAAATCCAGCTCATGGCTTTGACTTTGACTCTCATGTCCATACGTGCGGTGGCAATTCGGTACTTCCTCTCGACACCTTGACTTCTCAGTATTGAGGGTGCCGCTTATGCCTCGTAGCTGCATGGGCCCCTGCAAGAAAGATCATCGAGGCATAGCTCGACAAGCTGCAAGCCAAGCCCACTCCACACGGCAATTGACCTCGGTTGCAATGGCTCGCCGCATCCTTCGTCGACATCTTGCTTCCGTTCCTTCAGCAAAAAATCCTCAAATCAGCACGTCATGATGTTGCTACATCACCTTGCGCTGCTCATGTCTTTTACAGCGGCGCACAACCATCATCATGCGGAAACGGAAACACCTGCAGTCCGGACATTCTTCTACGTCGGAGGTGGCTATAGTGAAGATGGCAAGGGTGGTCATATATTCAAGGACCAAATGTATGTCGAAAGGTTAACGCCAGTGTTCACCAAACAACATGATACGGATCCTGTTGTTTTGATCCACGGACAAGCGCAGACGGGCACAAACTTTCTCGTGAAGCCAGACGGAGGGATATCATGGAGTTCTCGATTCCTTGAGGCTGGCCATACTGTCTACATCGTGGATCAAACCTTCCGCGGACGCTCCGCTTGGGCACCAACAGCTGGTGCTGATGCGCCGTCGACCTATTCTGCTGAGCTTATCCAAGAACGCTTCACTGCTCCACAGCAATATCGTCTCTGGCCCCAATCTACCCTTCACACTCAATGGCCAGGAACAGGCATCATGGGCGATCCTGTTTTCGACGCTTTCTATTCCTCCAACGTCCAGTTTATCTCGAATGCCACCTATCAACAAAGCACCATGCAAGCAGCAGGAGCACAGCTTTTGGACTCGATCGGCACTCCCGCGTGGTTGCTTGGCCACAGCCAAGGAGGTCTTCTGCCGTTGCTCATCGCTGATGCACGGCCCCATCTCACGAAGGGCCTCCTCTTGGTGGAGCCGACTGGTCCCCCCTTCCAGGAAGCAGTCTTTGGATCTGCACCAGCGAGGAAATGGGTAGGTTCACCAAACCTTCCGTCTCATTTTAAATGGCTGCTGACTTCAAAACCTACAGGGCTTGACGGACATACCGATGAATTATTCGCCTCCGGTCTCTGACCCCGCGATCGACTTAGTACAACAGGTTTATCAGCCTACCAACCTGACAAGTGACAATGCTACTGTTCCTTGCGTGTTGCAAGCAGCCGAGCCAGCCCCGAGACGACTTCCTAATCTTGCGCCGCTGCCCATTCTCACCGTTACGTCAGAAGCCAGCTACCACGCGCCGTACGACTACTGCACTGTCAACTTTCTCAAGCAAGCTGGCTGTTCCAAGGCTGAACATCTTGAGCTTGGAAAAGTCGGCATTCATGGTAATGGGCATATGATGTTTATGGAGAAGAACAGTGATGAGATATGGGAACGTATCCATGATTGGATGGGGGCTGCTAAGTAAATTCCTATCAAGATACTCAATCCTCAGTGCCAGCGTGTTGAGTTACAACTCCACAGTCTTTAAGCTACTCTTTCAGCTAGCCATCTACATAACCCGCCTACTTGTCCATGGTCTCACATCTCTCATCCATGTCAACATTCATGTCCGTTTTGCTGCGCTTGTTCCGGATATCCTTCCAGCCCATACCCAAGCTGGCAAGGGTAGCCAGACATGCTATGCCTACCAAGAAGTAAAAGACATCGCGCAGACCCTCCGAGTACGCTCTTAGCACGCCATCTAGTTCTCCAAGCGGGACGAGGGCTCGCACAGCACTGGCACTAGATCCAGCATCAATCGCCGCCTGGGGCGATATTGTAGGCGCGTAGCGTGTGATGGCGGAGCGGAGTGTCTGCGAGAAGATCGTGTTCGCGATGACGACAGCGATAGATGTACTGAGGTTCTGGAAAAAGACGACACTGGCCAACGCGACTGGGTATTGGGCCGGAGATACGGCGTTCTGCACTGCAATGATGGCCTGAGAGCGTCAATGATGCGACCCCGACCTGTGCAGGAGTTGGACTTACTATCTGCATGCCACATCCTCGGCCAGCGCCCAACAAAATCTGATAGCCGATCCAGACCGAGGCGCTCGTGGATGCTGTGAACGTTGACACTAGACCGTTGCCGATTGCGGTGATGATACCACCGACGAGCGCCCAGGGAAGATAGTAGCCCATGCGAGATACTATGAACAATAAGCTACCGAAAGCATGAGTTTGACAGTGTGGAGACATACTTGCAGCACCCGTAGCGATAACAACTAGAAGTTGGCTCAATATACTCGGCAGTACGTGTACACCACTGTCGGTCGGTCCATCGCCCTTCACGGCTTGGAAGTATGTCGGCATCCAAACACTCGCTGTCATCATACAAGTGATAATGCAGCTGGCATACACGCAACTCGTCCAGACGATTCGCTGTCCAAGCAGCTTACCCGGAAGCATAGCTTGGTCACCCATCCTTCTCTCCCAAAGTATGAAGAGGGTGGCGCATGCTGCTGCACCACAAAACAGTCCGATGATGACAGGGGAGCTCCAGGCGTAATTTCCACCACTTCCTAACTGGAGGGCAAGGAGCAGCATAACGGACGGAGGGACGAAGAGAGCAAAGCCGAGCAGATCGAGGTCGGGTATAATCTTGCGGACGAGAGACAGAGTTATGCGCGGCTTCGTCGTGCGTTCGGGAATGGGGACGAAAGCGATGATGGCGGCTGCCACTCCGCCGATGGGTAGGTTCATGTAAAAGCCTGCGTTCGCATCGCCGTCAGCTTCAGAAGACAAGAAAACAACGCAACAAGATACATTACGTACACCAACGCCAGACCGCATGCTCAGTCAGAGCACCTCCGATGAGTGGCCCTGCGACAATGCCCATTTGCGCAGCTATCATCTCGTCAGCATACAATCATGCCGACTTCCATCGTACAGCATGCTTACTCCCAAGTACTACACCGGTGTACACTGTCGCATACCATTAGCGTGAACCTTCTGCTATCTATGGAGCTAAGAACATACCTGGACTTTTCTCCATAGGCACGGCCCCTGCTAAGATGGTCATGGCGCCGTTCACGATACCAGACGCTCCTAAACCTGCAACGACTCTTCCCGCGATGAGGATGGCCGAGGAGCTGGCGACACCGCAAAGTAGGGAACCGAGTTCGAACAAAGATACGAATGTGAGGAACACAATCTTGGTGTTGAAGTGTGTGTAGAGCTTGCCGGAAAGTGGTTGCAATGTTGCTCTGGTAGCGGCATCAATAAGCAGTTCGACGTGGTTCACTCAGACTTGGAAGGGAAACGAAATGTTGGTTGAAGAAGACGACGTACGAAGCGAGCGTAAAAGCACCAATGTACCCTAATTACAGGTATACAAAGTCAGTATACGTCTCACATCGCGGTTTCGCAGTTACACTTACAGCCTACATCTGGAAGCGAGTGGAACTCGGATGTAATGCGTGGTATTGCCTAATACCATCAGAATCGGAACATCATACCGACGACGCAGGTGATACACACAGTACCCATGATGGATGTGTCGAGGCAGACCAGGAATGTGACGAGCGTCAGACTGCCGAGAAGGGTGAAAAGTTTAAGACCACAAAGATATCGAACCGGCGGCGCAGTGTTGCCATCGCTGTCCATGTTGACTGGCTATTATGTAGGTATATTCCGGTTCAAGAAGAACAGGTTCAGGGTGTGGTAGATCTAGGGCGGAAGGCAGCAAAATGTTTGTGTACAAAAGGAAAACGCGCGACAAAAATGTAAAATTATCAGGCAAGAGCCTATTTGAACGTTGTGCATAGCAGGAAGTCGTACGTTAGCCTGCTGTTTTGTTGATGTTGCGGGTTTCGGAAGTTGCGAGGACGCCACATCCCGTACTGTTGCTCAAAGCTCAAAGATTGAAAACGCTAGGCATCCAGAAGTCGCTCGCAAAGTCCATTACCCCCATATCACCAAACCCGTCATTCCATCCGTCCACTGTGCTGCCCATGGCATCATCGTGCTCGCTCGTAGGGAGTTTCCAATTTGGTGCCATACCCCTTAGCGTTTCCGCAGCCGCAGCAAATAGAGTATCCTCGCCTGTCTTGGCCTTGAATTCCGTATTAGCCTCCTCAGCAATCTCGGCAAACCTCTCTAGACATTGCACGATGTCAAAGCTTGATTGGACGATGGGTGGTATCCAGTCTGGGATTCCTTTGAGGCTGGCGAATCTGTACAGGGTCTTGATACAATACGAGAATACGAGCATCGATGGAGCCGTCAGACCTATGACTCCGCCATTCCAAGCGTGTTCTCGACAGGCTTTACTGGTCTCTAGAAGCTCCATAAAGTACTCGATACGCCTGGGCTCAAACGCTAAATGCGACAATGACAGCTCATCCGTAGGCTTTGTTAAGAGCGCAAGATCGTAGATGGCGACCTGGGCGGTTTGAGTGAGACCGATTATCAACCCTGGAGTAATTTGAGCGCTGAAAGAGATGACGGAACGATGATCTTACAGTGCTGTAGAATCTCAACGGGAAGTGAGCTTTTGAAGTTGTTGAGCGCCAATATTAGAGGGTCAATAGCCATCATAGCATGCCTTGCTGTATTGTGATCATCTGAAGCTCTTCGCGATACTTCGGCGGCGCTGACAACAATCTTTGCCAGACGCGCAGCGGCGACCAGTATGACGTCTCCTTCACATTCTTTGTTCTTACTGAGGTGGTCGCACGCATCTTCGATCTGTGACGACCAGAGCATCAGGTCATTTTCGAAGATAACAGCAACACTTCTAGCGTCAGTTGAGCTACGATGAGTTTACTTGCAAACTTACTTGGCGCATAATATGAAAACAGATAGAAATGCTCTACTGCCCTCGGTCTTCCGAACTTCCTTGTTATCAACACGAGGACCTAGGCTTGGACATCCCGCGGGTTGCGTGGGCTTGTCGAGTCGGAGATCGCTAACCAGCGTTTTTGCACGACCGCACATGGAGCCCAGGAATTGTTTCCCATGCGTGAAGTATGGTGACCTAACAGCATTAAAGATGGAAACACTACACATGATCTGCGTCCTTACCAAGCTATGCACATGATGACAGTCAAGAGCAAGTCAATGCTCCGTTCTCCCTGCACAATGATCCTAGAAGCCAATTGTTCTCGTAAGTGCTTGCTCAACTGGCTTTGCTTCGTTATTGCTTTGGTGAGTATCGTGCGGATAGCATGGCAAAATAGCGGGTATTTGAGATAAAGCTCGTCTGTGGTAGTATTCTCCGACATAGGCATGAAGGGGAAATAGTACAGATAACTCGTCCGGAAGTCGTGCACCTGATCGCTAGACAAGTACTTGTCATTGTCAAAACCATCGGTCCCCTGGTGGGGAATTACGGAGGAGTCGGGTGTTAGCACGAGCTGATCATTGGGCGATATGGTGAGGGGCGCTGTGCGCTGTGTTCGAAGCAAAGAGACGACTTCATCGAGTTTGTCCTCCAATTTTGACCTCTTCGGCGCTTGATTTGATCTGGGTGCCCTCCTGCGCACAGCTGATGAAGCTCTGCACTCTTTACCTAGGCGGTGACATCTTTGCGTTCAAGTTAGCCCGAGTGCGCGGAAGGTAGCGATTTGGGTCTACATCAACCTGAAAGCATGCAAACTAGGTGACCTAACGTCGATGTAGGCTCCAGGGTGTTCGGATTTTGCTTAGGTTGACGTGCATCCCCGAGTGTGATTGCTCCATAGTGAGCGTATTGATCAAAGGGATGGCGCACCTGTCGCAAACACCGCCGTCGCGTAACATACATCGGCATTTCGCTTTAACGCAGTTGCCACATGCCTGACCATATGGCGCAGGGGTCTTGCCTACTGCGTCCGTTTCCATGATAGGATTTCGTCTGTATTCCAGGTACTTAATCTGTATGCGAAGAAGACGAGCATGATGGAGTTGGCCGTGCACGCGCAACGCGCGAAAGGACGGGATTCGGAGCGGAATGACCGAAATTAGGCAACCAAGTGGACCCGATGTCCCATTTCGTCGCCCCAACAAAGGGGACCGTTCGCCGTTACTACACGTCACAACGAAGGTGAGTAGGCATCTCTGACTCCAAATGCGAACTGGCTGGTTTCGCGAAGTAAAGAAATAATCATTTGAATAGGGTATGTGTCCGAACTCCAAATTTCCTAACGCCGCAGATCATCCCGCCCCTTACGTCTTCACCTTCGCCTTGCCCTTCCTTAGCCTGTCGAACTCTTGGATGAGTTCCACAGCTCTCAGGTCAGCCTCGGACTTCCGGCCCATCCACTCAGTCTCTCCCCGTTTTGCCGCCTTGATGCGCTTTCTCGTGCCGCCTTTCGCCAAGTACTTCATACTCTTCACGATGCCATCTCCAGGGTATGCTATAATCCCAAAGGTTGCTGCGCCAGTCTTCGTGATCAGTCCGGACATTCCCTTGCCGAAGCCCTTTGCATACCCGATCGCACCCTC